TTCGTGTGCGTGCTTTCCAATAAGCATAGTTGTCACCCGTTAACTGGGGAAGAACCTTAACACGATCCATTCTGAAACACTCAACAAATCGTGAGATTGAACAAAGTAATATAATAAATAAAAGCAATAAAAGCCGCTGAAAACTTGAGTTCAAGAAGCAGGGAATAACCAGATCGACAGACTAATAATTTAAGTCTCTGGGCTCCGATACCAATTGAAAAAGTGCCATGAATCTTGAATGCAAGATTTAACTTAAAGGTCTACTTGATTTTTAGTTTCAAACAAATTTTGACCGATTAATTTTTGTTATTTAATAATAATAGACAACAGAAAATAAATGCAATAATTAAATAAAGTACACAATAATTTGTTACGCAGTTCGGAGCGCTTCTCCTATGTCTGCGGGGCAACCCACGTTTGTCCAATCCACTATAGATGTTCCACGAGGAGTTTTACAATAGAACAGTACATTAGACTCTCACAATCTTAGCTACCATACTACAAACAACCCTCCTAACATCCAACCTGGACCGTGAAGTGCATGCCTTGATGACCTTCGAACAATACTTCAACTGACTCAGCCGCAAACTGTAGCTCAGCAGACTTTCCCAAACATAATAATTATAAGCATTGGATTAATATATCGGCAGTAATAAGAATTCCCCTTCTCAATTAATATATTCTCAAAATTGGCAAGTTTCCATAATGAGCTTCCTTTCCTTTTATAGTGATATAGCTTTCAATATCTCAATGCACGTAAATAGCTTCACCAATGGAGAAAATCATTCTCTACCACTCATATTAAAGCAAACCCATATACTTAGTTTGAACCATAATCTGATTACTGACTTCCTCTTCATATAGATAATAAATGTGAGCCACTCAATTAAATTCCATATGATAGAAAAAATGGTCCAAGAGTTTTGGCTAACCTAAATCTATTTATTTTAAAAATAAATTAGCCAACATAGGTTTTTAATGTGTACAAATTATGTACACTTACAATCTCCCCGAGGTACAGGCCCAGACTGGTGGCCCAAATGCAAAGATCCAAATACATACAATGATCACGTCCCAAGAAATGGGCTATAGCTAACTATCCAAATACAAAGATCATGGCCCATTTCCTTGGCGGCCCAAATACAAAGATCCGAATACAAAGATCACAACCCAAGAAATGGGCTATAGCTAACTATCCAAATACAAAGATCACGGCCCATTTCCCTGGCAGCCCAAATGTAAAGATCCAAATACAAAGATCACGACCCAAGAAATGGGCTATAGCTAACTATGCTACTAATAGGAATTTAATCTAGGTGGCTGGGTTGAGGGTATAAACCAGAGAACACTAGACCAGGATGCTTGTAGTGCTTGGATGATGCCCCCTTAAAGGGAGGGAAGGGTGCCTTATACAGTGTAGAGGGTCTTTCGGATTGTTGACAAGTGTACGACATCAACTAGTCTTCCATATCCATCCTCCACGTATCTCATGCATGCTAGAAGGGTAGATTACCAACCTATAGCTAACCTTGATAGTTATGCGCTAGCCGGAAGGGTCGATTACCAACCCCCCTATCATACCTTACCCCTCCACACCATACCGCACCATTCCAAACACCACAACGCACCGCATCGCACCCCCTCAGGAATAGGGGCGCCGTTGAAGTGCCCGGGGGCGCACCACCCCGCCTGGCCACGCCAGGCCTGAGGTGGCCGGCTGGACACGTCGCTGGCCAGTTGCTGGCCAGCCAATGGCCAGTCATGGATGGTGGTCAAAGCTGCCAGCCCGTAAATATAGGAGAAATATTAGGTGTCACGCTTTAATATACAAGATCGAGTTGGTGTGGTATGGTGGGTTTAGCCTTGTGTGTTATGTTGGAGGTCTCAGGTTTGACCCTTGCTGGCAGCATCCTTAACCTATTTTATAAAACCGTTGTCTTTGCACGTTCTTTATTTTTTTAAGACAACGCACAAATGTCAACAGTTAAATAAAACCGTTGTCTTTTAAAAAAATAATAATGCGCAAAGACAACGGTTTTTAAAACGCTGTCTTTGTAGTGTTGTTTATTCGAGTACACTTAAAGGCAACATATCAAAGACAACGGTTAAATGAAACAGTTGTCTTAAAAAAAACGCACATAGACAACAGTTTTTAAAAATCGTTGTCGTTGTGGTGTTGTCTTTTCTCAAAATGTACAAAGACAACACACTTATAACAACAGTTAAGTAAACACTATTGTCAAAGACAACGGTTTTAGACGAAACAGTTGTTGGAAAAAAATAGGCTGATAAAGTGAAAACTCAATAACTGCTGTGTCGTGGTATAACCACTACCATAGAAGCGAATTCGCCGCTACTGGTGCAGGCTCACAACAACGGCGTCGCCCCCGAAGGTTAACACAGCAATCCCCGTCTCCGTGCACCCGGAGCAGGGATTGGAACATACACAACATTCTCAAAGTGGAAAGGGGACAATAAAGTTAACAAGACAATGTTTGTCTGTCTGTCTGAACTCAAGAATACCCCATTTAAATAGTAGAAGCCAAATGATTATGGCCACTTAATAACTAACAAATATTGACCACTCACCAAACTTGTGGTGAATATTAATCAAGACTAAATCACCAGGGTAATGAGGACCACAAAATTATCCATTGACTTGCATTTTCCCAACAATCCCCCACAATTGCTCCATTGACTTGCATTTTCCCAACAATCCCCCACAATTGCAAGAGAATGATAAGGAAGACTCTGAGAAGTATAAAGGATTGACACTTAAGTGCTAGTGAACGAATCTTGAACTGGCACATAGTGACACATGGTATCCTCTGATCTAGTGAGTGAACGAATCTTGAACTCTTAGACTAGAGGTTTAAACCATAATGACACGCATCAGACCTTAGATCTTGTGTAAGTTCCGCGAAAGAACTACATATATATTTAGCCCAACTGAATTGCTCATGAGTACTCTAGAAAGATAGCTCATTATCTTTCATAAAAGGCGGCTAACCCTTTTCACTCAAGTAGGTGATCTTCTTAAGTCTATCTCAATATAAACACTATACCCAAATTAGGGTATGAAATAGTTAAGAGCATTTTATGCTCACCCTCTCAATTATTAAGCGGTGAATTCATTTAGTCCATCTCAATAGGACCACCCATCTCATTGGGTTATAAATTCATTAAGAGCTGTTGCTCAATCTCACCAGTACACACACACCATAGAATGACCAATTAGTGTACTACTTTGTGATTCTTTCCATGGCTTCGTTTGACCACAAAAGTGGGATCCACCATGAATTCATCACCTCTTGAGCTTTAAGTCATTTCATCAATAATTTAACGACTAACCTCATAATTAGTCCTCTCTATTAAAGTAAGTTGATTATATCGATTAAACTTACGTACACTTTAACATGTATTTTATTTACTCACAAATAATTCCCTTGAAATTTTCGTGTTCAACATGAAATATTCTCTTTTACCATTATTTTTGGTACCACAGAGAGACTTATAGGAAAGAAATATAAAAGGAGTTAATTACCCCCACAATGTAACACTTACAAATACTTTTCTCAAAAGTATTTGATCTCTTATCTATATTGATCTTTTAGTGCCCAACATTGGCTCTTTTGCAAACTGGGTTTTGCAGATTTGTTTTGTGAAACATTATAGTAGCTCCGCACTTTAATTAATACATACTCAATAATTGAATATATTTCAACAAGTTTTGTTATCTCAATCCACCATAATTACCCTTTAAACATGAATTATAGGTCTTCCAAGATGACTCAACCAAGATTTTAAATAATATATATAAATGCTCATTGCTAGTAAGCCACAGAGATGATGTTGTTTGCTTGCAATTTCAAGTTATACAACATAATCACAATTTTCACATGATTTTATTGAGATTAATTAGTCTCATATTCAAAGAATATATTCAAATTAATGTTTATTAGAAATGATTTATCTACATAAATTCAACAAGGTGAACTCAACATGTATAACTATAATACTCAAAGTTATTTCAACTTCACAATTTTTTTCCTTCACTTGAGGAAATTAATAACTCAGTATAGCATTGGTATAATGCAAATCAACAAAAATTTCATATTTATTCTCAAAAGAATAAATAGCCCCCAATTATTTAAAACATGGTAATTTAAATCAACGCTATTATTACACCACGTAAGCAATATTTATTTGCAAGGCTTAAAATTTTTAATATCATGTGAAAGTTAAATTCATTTCACTAAAACTCAATAATTGATTACCACACTAGCCATATGACCCCCACAATCCTCGTAGTTGATAACATTATTTTTATTGTTATTTTAAATAATCTTTTTGTAGTTAATTTGCAATATTTAATTAATTTTATATTTATTTTTATTTATTATTGTTATTATTAGTAGCTTTGATAGTTATTCAATTTTAGGTTGTTTTAATTATTATTTCAAAAAAAAAGGTTGTTTTAATTATTAAATTTGTCTATTATTTGAATTCTGTCAGTCTAATAATTCTTTGATCCTAATTTAACAATAATATTATTAGTTTTAGTCATGATCAACAGGAGTTTAATAAATGTAGATTAGTTATATATGGTCTTTTTTTATTATTATTATTATTATTATTATTATTATTATTATTATTATTATTAGTAAATAAAGTTGTGCTAGCCCATCATCTAAAACCCAAGTGTAGAAGCCCATTCTTTTTGGTTCTTCCCTCTCTGCCAGTCTTTATACCATACACCACGGCGTATGACTCTATGTGCGCCCAGCTTCAATACGACGCCGTAAGGAATTGGTAAGTAACGGCTTTTTTTTATTGTTCCGTTACCGCCGTTAAGTTTTAAGAAGAGGGAAGTGAGCGAGGGTTTCTAAAGTGATGGTGTCGAACATGTCTGTTGGATTAGAAACACTGTAGGGACGACCATCTTAATCGAGCTGATCTTTGCGATTTGCTCTATATTTCGCAATTGTTGGATGTAAGTCATGGATGAATCGATTGCGCAGCAGCATGTGGCGGAGACAGAGCAATTAACTGATCTGGTTGGAGTGGCAGATAGAGAGAATGTTAATCCAAGTTTTTATATTTGATTTTTAAGATTATTTTGTATTTGTTTGCTGTGTGATGAATATTATTGAATTCGCATGGGATATTGATTCGTTGAGTTATATAAGAATTGGTATAGGATTGCTGTTTTTGATTGTGTTTGTATTGGATGTTAGTATGGTCTGACTTGAAGATGTTGATCTAGGGATGTTTTATGTGCATTATATGGTTTGATTTGTGCGTTTTTTTATGCAATTGTGTAGATTTTAGGATTGAATGTCATAGTAAGATGGACTGAAAAGATATTTTATGTATTTATGATTATGTATATTGTGCCATGTGTTTATGTGTATTATAGTTATGGATTATGTACATTAATAGTAGGGGTATTTAAACTGTATGTGGTTTGCAGCTGATCAGGATTTGGTAGGGATGTCAGTGTTTTCGGTTGATGAAGCATATGACATGTATAATGACTATGCTTTTAGAGTAGGTTTTAGTGTGAGGAGGGGTAAGCAAAGATATAATTCTGCTACAAAAACAATGAAGACGAAGATGTTTCATTGTTCGAATGATGGATTTAAAAGGATTACAGGAAAAGGGTGTTATTCTAAAATTGATGGTCGTACAGGTTGCGGTGCATTTGTCCAATTCAATTTACATGAGAATGGGATGTGGATTGTTTCGAAGCATGAGAAGTTGCATAATCACGAATTGGTTCCACCAAGCAAGATTTACCTTCTAAGGTCACATAGGATGGTGTCTAGGAATCATATTTCCTATCTTACTGATTTGAAGAGCAGTGGTGTGTCTGTTGCAGATGGTGTAAGATTCCTTAAAACACAATCAGGGGGATCACCACTTGTTGGTTTTACAAGTAGGGATGCATATAACTCTTTATGTACCGATGCATTGAACAAATTGGATGGGACTGATTCAAACACACTGATTGAAATATTCAAACGGAGGCAGTCAAGTGAAAGGGATTTTTACTTAGATTTTGATGTGGATTTGGAGTCAAGGTTGTGTAGTTTTTTTTTGAGGGATGGACGAATGAGGAGAGATTATGATTTGTTTGGGGACTTGTTAGTTCACGATACAACATATCGTACTAACAAATATGACATGATTTGTGGACCTTTTGTTGGCATGAATCACCATTGCATGAATGTCATGTTTGGATGCGATTTTTTGATGATTGAGAAGACTGAGTCATTTGTATGGTTGTTTAAGACATTTTTGAGATCTATGGATTACAAAAGTCCACAAAGTATAATGACTGATCAATGTGCTGCTATGACTGCTGCAATTGTTCAAGTTTTTCCAAGTTCACGACATCGGCTATGTATATGGCATATTGGTGAGAACTCAAAGAAGCACATTAAAGGGTTAAGAAATCAAAAAGATTTCTTAGATATATTCAATTGTTTGTTGAAGTATACGGATACAGAGGCAGAGTTTGAATTTTATTGGACAAGGTATGTGTCTTATTTATGCTTCATTATTTTTCTTTTTTTATATTATTAGTTTATATTGGCTTATCATTGAATGACTATTTTTAGATTATATTTTACAGAAAACAGAATTAATTTTTTGGATCAAGTTTATGTGTATTTATTTGATAGTTTATGTGTATTCATGTATAAGATTATGTATATTAGTCGGTTCTGTATGTGATATCCTGATATGCTTGTAGGTTTACTTTAATATATTTATGGCATGTTATTTCAGGATGGTTACAACATATAAATGTCACAATAATCATTGGATTGAAAAGCTTTATGGGTGTAGAGAAAAATGGTGTCCTGCATTTAGTAAAGATTATTTTTCGGGTGGGATTTTATCTTCTCAAAGGAGTGAGACCACAAACCACTCTATTTCTAGAAGGTTGTCTAAGACATCTGGACTGTGTGATTTTTATAACTCATTTGTTGGGGTTATATCAGAGTGGAGAAGTAGAGAGAATGGGGAAGATGTTCGATGTTCACAAGGTGTACCTACAATGGTGATGGATAATGTTAAGATTCTGTTGCATGCTAGAGAAATTTATACAATTGAGATATACTATTTGTTTGAAGAACAATTTTTGAAAGGTGGATCATGCTATCAAGAGTGTGTGATGTTGGAAGATGGTGTGTACAAGTATCATATTTGGAGGCCTGATGTTGATATTATTAGGCATGAAGTGATCTTTAACAATAGACAAATGGACATTGGATGTAGTTGCGAGTTGTTCACTGAATTGGGGATTTTGTGTTGTCATTGTTTACGCATTCTAAATGTGCATTATGTTTCTGAAGTTCCTGAGAAGTATATTTTGAAGAGGTGGACTAAAAAAGTCGTTGAAGTTGATAATTTTGATATAATGTCTAGAGTTGATAGTGGTAATGGTGCATCTTCTGTTTGGTTATTAGAAATCATTAGGAAATTTCAGAGGGTTGCTGTTTACAGTCAGGAAAATATCGAAGGACGGAAGATTTGTGAAGAAGCAATTGCAGATGCAAAGAGAAGACTTGAAGCTGAATGTGGTGGTAGTTTATTTGAAGAATGTGACATAGGATCGTCAAGTGGTGTTATAAAGGATCCATCTACTAGGCGGATGAAAGGGTTGCGAAATAGGAGGGTGAGCAGTGTTATTTCAAAGAAATATAACAAAGCAAGGGGACGGAAGCATCTTGCACATATGGTTGCTTCCAAAATAAAACCAGCTGTTCAGTCTCAAGTTGATGATGATATTCTAAATATTGCTGGTGATGGATATCTTGTGCATCCAAGTTCCGGAGGTTCTAATTTTCGTCATGTTAGCACAATGTCAAGTATGGAGGATAATTAAAGCATATGTTAGTGTTAATCATCGTAGTTATATGTATCATGTACAGAAGGATGTTGAATCATATAACTCAGCAGTAATAAAATAGACATTTATTATGATTTGTGATGTTTTAAAAGTTTATGTGTATTCATTATATAGTTTATGTGTATTACTTCATGTGATTATGTACATTTTTATTTGTGTTAATTACTTTTATATATTTATGTACATTTTTTGTTAGATTTGCAGTTATCAGTATAGGGAAATGATATGCTTGGTCCTATGTGTATTCTGTGCATGGATTATATTCAGTAGGATGTTTGATTGTATAAATTAGCAGAAACAAAATATTTGTCAGACTTTTTTTTATTAGTATGTGCACTGTTTTAAAAGTTTATGTGTATTCATTATATAGTTTATGTGTATTACTTCATATGATTATGTACATTTTTATTTGTGTTAATTACTTTTATATATTTATGTACATTTTTTTAACAAAATATTTGTCAGACTTTTTTTATTAGTATGTGCACCGTTTTAAAAGTTTATGTGTATTCATTATATAGTTTATGTGTATTACTTCATATGGTTATGTACATTTTTATTTGTGTTAATTACTTTTATATATTTATGTACATTTTTTTTTAGATTTGCAGTTATCAGTACAGGGAAATGATATGCTTGGTATTATGTGTATTCTTTGAATGGATTATATTCAGTATGGTGTTGGGTTGCATAACTTAGCAGAAACAAAGTTATTTATCAGACCTTTTTTATTAGTATGTGTACTTTTTAAAACGTTTATGTGTATTCATTATATGGTTTATGTGTATTACTTTATATGATTATGTACATTTTTTAATAGTTTATAGTTTGTGTAGTATTTGCATTGATTATGCACAAAACTATATTGGAATATGAAAAATATAGAATACGAGTAAACATTAGCTTGGATTACCAAAAGGATTTTATACAAATTTCTGATAATTGTTAATCAACAAAAACTTTCAAAAACTGAACCAAAATACAAGTAAGTTTGAGCTTGGATTAGCAGAATTGCTTTTTACAGATTCTTGTTAATAGTTTCACTTCCATTTCTTGTAGATGTCCCTTGCTGAGTGCATGACTGTTTCCATGTATTCATTGTTCTTCCACATGAGTATGTTTGCTGCATATTTGACTCTAAGTGACGTAATGAAAGCAGCCTACAATAAATAAAAGATAGATGTTAAAATTAGAAGAAACAAGAGATAACATGTGTAATGTAAAACAAAGTTGATTATTACTTACATCATTATCCCCCCCTGTGAAACCAATTTCCCATTTGTCTACTTCAGTCCCTTTGTAAGTTTCCATGTGGCGCATGCAATACACGCCACAATCTGTTGTGTTCTCTTCATCCTGCCATGACATTTGAATGCACTCCACTTCAATATTCTTCACTTTCCTAGCAAGGGAGTTTTTCTTTGATTGGAGATATTTGTAGAAAGCTGTTTTCTGCACAATATAGTAATTGTAGTGTTTAATTAATTTGAGTAATGTAGATATTAAACTATAAGCTATAGATATTAAATATGAGTATTAGTATATCTTACCAATTTGGCTAGGCAGTTCTCATATCTGTTTTTACTTGGTATTCCTTCCGGCAATAGTTTGTTGTCAATGATCTGAAGTTTTGATTTGGGGATTTTAAAGCACATTAAGTAGTAGTGATTGTGCCTCAAGATTGTAAAGAAAACCTGAAATGAATAATCAAAAGGGATTTAACAAATTGTGTCAAATACAGACGTAAATTCAATAATCTTAGAATTCATATAATTAGGTATATATATATATATATATATATATATATATATTTTTTTTTTTTTTTTTTTTTTTTTTACTTACAAGACTTGCATCAGTTATATCAATAGCAGTCCCCCTCAACTGGTAGTCAATATTTGTACAGAAGTCACCAACATTCATATTCCTAGCTTTTATTTCAACCTTTTCAAGCGTCATCTGTAAAGAACAGGTTGGGTGTCATATAGTACATTGTTTAAAAAAATGCTTAGTTCAAGACGTGTACTTATGTAAGCAGCCTCTGAGAAGAAGATCCTCTTTGGTTGATCAATTGCTCTTTTCATATCAATCACGGTCAATCTGTGTGCCCAAATCTGCAGGATATTGGTAGCTAGTTGCCCACTTGCCAGTGTTGCAATGTCCTCTCTTGTTGCAAACAGATCATGGGCAGAAAACAACATTTCACTGGAAATAAACAAAATAAGTTGATATTACGTTTTGAAATCTTAAAATAATGCACAGGTATGGAATTGAAGTTCACAATTTAAAGTAATCTACTGTTGCCCCATAATGTAAATGTATAATGTACATAATGTTATGAAGTAATACACATAACGTATAACTAGGATACACATAATTTTTTGTTTAAGAATAGCTTTTATTTATGATGAGGTATAGCAACTGAAAACATTTATTATAACAAGTTATAGAAGAAATACATACTAAGAAGGGTATTCCTCTTCATTTGGTGGCAGGAAAGCATAGTCCGAGATCAGTTTTTTCCTGGCTGAAACATTCTTGAGCTTTGAAATGTTGCTTGTCCAGTACGGGGATCGACAGGCTAGAGGGAGGTTCTTGAATTTTCGCTGTGGCCTTTTCCGGACACTGACATCTTCAACATCATCTTCAGATTCAGCCATGATGCTTTGTAGAGACAGAAAAGTAATTATTAACATGTTTTAACTTTTAAGCAATAGGCATAATAGCATGATTAAATAATTAATAAGGATAAAAATGTACATAATATTATAGTAGAATACACATAAAATATGAAAGCAATATACATAATCACATTTGGTTTATGATTGATGAGATATTAAACTGAACATAAATGTACATAATTACTAGATTAAACACACATAAGGATACAGTTAAGTGATAAGTGAGTTTTACCTATCAAACTCAATTTGGTCTGGAGTTTGTTGTTCCGGGGTTGGTAGTGATTGGGTTGACCCATCAGCCATGTCATCAACCAACTGCTCCAAGAGTGTTGCAATTGGGGTAATTGGTGTTGTATTTTCTTCCATTGTTTGTGGTGGTGGTGTGGTGGGTGATGCTGATAGTGTTGCTGCTTGCGGTTCACATGTTGGTTCGTGTGGAGGTGGTGTTGTTTCAGGTGGAGTTGCATTTGTTGGGGCTTCTTCAGGAATGCTTGGTGTAGTAGCATCACGGCCAGTTGGCGTTAGCAGATGAAATGTGGGTACAGATATGTCAGCAGTCGACATGTTCTTCAATGTAGCCAGGAATGCCGCTTCAAGTTCAGCAACTGCATCCAAGAAACTTGGCTGGTTGTATATATCGTCATCTCGTAGCAGGCTCTCTGGTGGGGTTGGATTCGGGCTTGGTGTGAGGTTGGCATTGGTGGATAAGTTGCTGAATACATTCTTTATAATGTCAACGACAGAGGTGTTTGCCCCAACCCCTGCCATGACCTCACCAAACTCCATAATGCTCGTGGTCATTTTTTTCAATGCTTTGGTGACCTTTTCAACTTCTTGACCTTGTGGCAGTTCATGAGGTGGTGGCTGATGTGCAACTGGGATATATTCAACAACTTTCCCCCTTCTTTCAACCTTATCAATGTGGAAACAATGTAGATTATAAAGTCACGTTTGAACATGTCGCCATGATCACGCCCCTAAATGATGCCATTCAGCATCTGGCTTGTTGTTGGTGTGCCTGTCTTTACACCCCACCGTTCTCTCCAAAGTGCAACCAAGCGCTTGTACTGTGGGTCTTTGCTCGTTACTTCAGCCTCTATAACAGTCTGTTGCCCTCTGGGGATTCCAAGTGTTGAATGTACATCATCATTTCCTAGAAAGAACTCTTCCTCTTCCATATGTATCGAGCATCTACCAACATCAAATCGCTCAAGAAGGTATCTCAGAAGTTCACCATCATATGAAGAAAGTGTTGCACTTAAAAGGGATCCAAATCCCATATCTCGAACAGCTTGGTGCTGTTCCGGGCTCAAACTGCTTACAAGTGCATAGAGCTGCTTTGGGGAGGTCCGTACAGCTAAGTAATCACTGTGTTTTGGTTTTTTCTTCTTTTGTTTTTCCTCATTTTTTATCCTCTTTGGGGTTTTCTTATGTTCGGTAGTTGTACTGGTGTGGGTTTTCTTTTGTTTTTTGGCAGCAGGCTATTTGGGGTCATCATTGGTACCTGTTCTGATTTCAACATTTGCTGGTCCAGAAGATGTTTCAGCACCTTTTGATGCAGTAGCAGTATTTTTCTTTCGTTTACCCTCTTTGGCAATTTCTCGTAGCGTAGGATCAGTAGTGATTGGGGGTGTTGATGTAGGTGCAATATTCTTATTTCTTGGAGATCTCCGGGGATTAGTGGTTGTAGTGGTTGTAGTGGTTGACATTTCTGTAATAACACAATACACATAAACACAACTCTAAGTAATATGTAACACTAATATTAACACCAAACAGGCAGTAGATTGGGATTGAGAATTTTACAGGGGTGCAAATGTATAATGTACATAATGTTATGAAGTAATACACATAATATATAAACAGAATACACATAATGTTGAGTATAAGAATAGCGGTTACCTATGATAAGGTATAGCAACTGAAAACACTAATGTACATAATCTGATAATCTTATATGAGAATAAACACAAGTCTAAGTAATATGTAACCCTAGTTGACACGACTGTAATAACATAATACACATAATCACAGTTCTAAGTAATAGGTAACACTAATATTAACACCAGACAGACAATATAGTGGGATTGAGAAGTTTACAGGGGTGCAAATGTATAATGTACATAATGTTACGAAGTAATACACATAATATATAAACAGAATACTCATAATGTTGAGTATAAGAATAGCGGTTACCTATGATAAGGTATAGCAACTGAAAACACTAATGTACATAATCTGATAATCTTATATGAGAATAAACACAAGTCTAAGTAATATGTAACCCTAGTTGACACGATTGTAATAACATAATACACATAATCACAGTTCTAAGTAATAGGTAACACTAATATTAACACCAGACAGACAATATAGTGGGATTGAGAAGTTTACAGGGGTGCAAATGTATAATGTACATAATGTTATGAAGTAATACACATAATATATAACTAGAATACACATAATGTTGAGTATAAGAATAGCGGTTACCTATGATAAAGTATAGCAACTGAAAACACTAATGTACATAATCTTATATCAAAATAAACACAAGTCTAAGTAATATGTAACCCTAGTTGACGTTGCTGTATTAACATAATACACATAATCACAGTTCTAAGTAATAGGTAACACTAATATTAACACCAGACAGACAATATAGTGGGATTGAGAAGTTTACAGGGGTGCAAATGTATAATGTACATAATGTTATGAAGTAATACACATAATATATAACCAGAATACACATAATGTTGAGTATAAGAATAACGGTTACCTATGATAAGGTATAGCAACTGAAAACACTAATGTACATAATCTTATATCAGAATAAACACAAGTCTAAGTAATATATAACCCTAGTTGACGTTGATGTATTAACATAATGCAGTAATGAATGTCTGGAATGTAGTAATATCATGCTCATAGTGTTATGTAATCGTAGTTATGCTCACCTTTTCTTCGCGCTGTTGTATTGTTCTTGCAGAGGAATGTGATGATGGATCAGAGTTTGCGGTTTTTGCTGTCTTTTCGCGGAAAATAGTGATCGGTTTTGAATGCTTGAAAGTGGTAATGGAGTGACTTCACTAGTACAAAAAATATCAATAAAATCGACTAATTCGCGTCCAAAGTTAGAACTTTGGATGCCTAAAGTGTAATGCGGTGGCATTTTTGTAATTAAAATGCCACTATATAAATAATTTTTTTTTTTTAATTTTAAAACAGTATTGGCGTCCAAATCTCTGTACTTTGGACGCCAATACTAAAAGTCTTCTATTATTCGCGTCCAAATCTCAGTACTTTGGACGCGAATATTAATCAATCGCGTCCAAAGTGGCCACTTTGGACGCGATTTTTTTTTTATCCTAAATCCCTAGCTCGATCTGTATCATTCAGCTCTGTATCAGATCGCGTCTGACGCCGTCCATCTCCATCAGCTCTGCTCCGACGCCGTCCATCAGTCACCGCCGTCCGACGCCGTCCACACTCTCCATCGTCCCCGCCGTCCACGCTCTCCATCTTCCCGTCCATCGCCGATCTACTCCCGCCGCTGCCGATCGACGTCCCCGCCGCTGCCGCCCAAGGTCGCCGCCGCTGCTGTCCAAGGTCGCCGCCCCGACGCCTCAGCTCGCCACTGCAGTACGGTAGCCGACGCCGCCGTACGGCGTCACGAAACCGTTATCTCTTTCCGGACCGTCCGAGGCGGATCTTCAAAGAAATGCACAACTCCAGAAGGTGATTCCTTTCAGGTTTATTTCGATGTGAATAAGATTTTGGATAGTTTAGGAAATACTAAATGATGTCAAGTTTTGTAGTTTTATTTGATGATTACTGTTTTCTTCCTAAAATTTGGGCTTGAATATGAACTGATTATGCGTTGACTCTTGATTAATTGTTAGTTTTTGAGGGATTCTGATCTGGAGTATACGAGAAGGAGGAAGAAGAAAGGCTTGATATATATTTAAAAAATAAACAAAAAAAGGCGATTGGACGAAGGGAGAGGCGTCCGTCCCGTCAAATGTCACTAACGGAGGAAATTCAAAACGACACCGTTTCGGAAATAGGCGCATAGTGCAGGGTGCAACGTGGTGTATGGTATAACGATTGCAGTCGCAACGGAAGATGCGCAAAACCACCGATTAACGCGAACAAGAGCACCGGACAAGATGAGCGAAGGAATCGTAGACTTATTCTCCTTCAAAGCTACGATCCGATTGATTAGCTCAAGCTTCGGACGGTGAGAGATCGGAGAATGGACCGGAGAAGTCTGAACTATATAAAAAGGGGAATCAGTCTTCATGACATCATCAGTTCACCCCGGTGATTTCCGGTGGTTCACATCTATATAGTTTCTCCTCCGGGCAGCGATTTCTAGAGGCGCAATCTATTCTGATACGTCGACAACTTCATTCGGCAGCAACAAATTCTAGAGGGTTTGGCAATTGATTTGGGCAGAAGTCTCTGGTTCATTCTTTTATTTACTTATTTTGAGGCTGTCTTGTACGAGTGATTGGCACTCTATAAATTGTGTTTCACCTAAGTATTTTAATTTGCTTTGGGTTTCTACTTTATAGGTTACTAGAGCTTTTTAATATTTAATTTGTTTTGTGTTTTCTGAAAGTACAAGAGCAGCGTGCAATCTGGTTTTGGCCTCATTTGTAATTCTTTACCTTTATTTATGGTTGTTGTACTTCTAAGTTAATGTTGATTGCTTGTAATTATCACTTTATCCTCCTTAATGACAGTGCTTATTGAGTAGTGAATGAAATAGGTTCTCAGCATTCATTATAGACTAGATTAATGTGGGGTTTGCAATTTCCTTGCTGTGTTGATAATAGATTCATGTTCCTAGAGCGTTGTTTTCATATTAGCTGCCAATTTAATTACAATCTTAATTTTTTTTTTTTTTTTTAATTGCTCATTTCTTTTCTTGGTTTTTTACATAGCATTTAGTTTTGTTTTTACTATTAATATTAAGTTTATTGGGGTAATAATCAAAATGACTTTCAACCAATTGACCCACCCCAACCTGAGAAATCATCTTTGGAGGACTCCTTGAATGATTATATACAGGTTTGCAATAGGCGGCAAGAAGAAGATGAACAACGATTGCAACAAAATGAGGCTTGCTTTAAAAGATTGGAATTGAAGCACATTTAGAGCAAATTGCTAAATTTGTGCAAGGGCATGTGCCAGGTAAGTTATCTAGTCAACTTGAAGAGGCTAAGGCTGTGAGAAGTGGTAAAATGATTGAAAACAAGTTACACGATAATACCACTTCTAAACAAACTGAAATAATTGAAAAATTGCATAATGATGTTGATGATATTATTGTTGAAAAAAATGAGCCTCAATTACATATATCTGATAATCCTTATGTGTCTCCCAAGCTTTATGTGCCCCCAATCCCGGTTGATGAAAATTTTGAAAACACCTAACCTGTACAAAATGAAGATTTTGAGGAAAAGGAGCCATATGTACCACCCAAGCCTAATTTGCCCCCAGTTTCTTATCCAAATAGGCTCAAAAGTTATGTGCCTAAAACCGTAAGTGAAGTGCTACAAAAAGAATTACCCCCAATCCCTATTGATGTTCAAGCAAACAAATTGACCAAAAATGTGCTTGATGAAACTGTTGAGTTTCCAATTTTTACATCGATGAATTTGTTTGCTAGCTTTAACCAAGTTTTTGCAGTTAAGGGGTTGAATTTTACTAATTATGGTAAGTTGGAGTTTGAGAAAATTCAAAAAGAAAATCTTTTGAATGTAGTTGATATATCAGTTTCTTCTTATTATTCTCACACTGCAGGGCCATATGAGAATTCCACAAATAAAGAATCTAATAAAGGAGGACTCTCTTTGTCTTCTTTTCTTCTTCTCACAACATTGGGGACAATGTTGAAAATAAGTGTGGGGAAGGGATTCTACCCACAAATCACAAAAAATTCAAAATTTTTAATTTTCTTATGTACATTTTCTTAAACATTTTTATTTTAAAATTCTAGCATTAGTTTGGGCTTTACCCTTAAGAGTCTTTTAAGTACTCGGCGATCGAAATAATGCAGGTTTTCGTCAGCTCTTAGTGTGTATATTGCATGTGACTAGTTATTAATTTCTTTATTTTTATTTTTTCAAATAACTCTGTAAAAAAAAAAAAAAACAAAAAAAAAAAAAATAGAATTTGAAAATCACAAATACCCTTATGTGCTCTATACAATTTCTTAGGTAGTTTATATGCATCTTTCACTTTATATTACCCTTTTCAAATTCTTAAACAATTCTTGAGTGCTATAAATTGTGGTGTAGTGTGTTGGTTCAAAGATCATCTTTATGGCATATAAGTGAGGTGAAAAGAAAAGATTTAAAAAAAAATATTTAAAAAAATAAATGAGAGTGTTTATTTATTTATTCTTTTTGCAATAATTTCAGAGATTCTACTCCGCTGAATCAGCCACCTACACATGTACCATAAATAAATAAATAAGTGTTGTAGTCTGGTTTATGAGTACACACAATTGAAAACCCAAACATGCCTGGCGTAAAATTGCGAGATTTTTGGGGAAGTTCTCTTTGGAAAAAGTCAAAAACAGAAAAATAATGAGTGAACTTTGGAAGAGACGAGTATTTGCATTTTAATTCTTAATAAATGTCTTGATTCTTGTTTCCTTCATGTTTTGCACCTGCACCGTGATAGATTATTATATTTCTAAATTTGACTTAGGTTATATTTTGTGAAATTTTCATATTTATTTTATTAAGTTTTTGTATAGTTCATATAAGGGGTGTCAGCACACAAACACAAGTTTTATATTTATTTTAGCTAAAGTTTTTAACTTCTAGTCAACTATATATTTTATGCATTATATTCTTTGATTTGGCACTAACCCGCCCTGCATTGTTGACAATAAATTTGAGATTTTATTTGGGTAAAGCTCGGTCTAATACTTGATTTTATTTTTAATTTTCTTTATCATTTCTTGTTAATAATGTCTTTGTTTGAGGACAAGTAAAAAAATAAGTGTGGGGAAATTTGTTAACATTTTTTTTATTGTTATTTTAAATAATCTTTTTGTAGTTAATTTGCAATAATTAATTAATTTTATATTTATTTTTATTTATTATTGTTATTATTAGTAGCTTTGATAGTTATTCAATTTTAGGCTGTTTTAATTATTAAATTTGTCTATTATTTAAATTCTGTCAGTCTAATAATTATTTGATCCTAATTTAATAATAGTATTATTAATTTTAGTCATGATCAACATGAGTTTAATAAATGTAGATTAGTTATATATGGTCTCTAATAAGTTTATTATTATTATTATTATTATTATTATTATTATTATTATTATTATTATTAGTAAATAAAGTTGTGCTAGCCCATCATCTAAAACCCAAGTGTAGAAGCCCATTCTTTTTGGTCCCAGTCGTTATATCATAGACCGTGCACCGCGGTAAAAAACCGCGCCGTTTCTTTATGTAAGGAAACGGCCCGCCGTTACCGTTAACGGAGTCCGCTTGTTTGGTGTATTAAACATCAACTGACACTACAGTATATCTAAACCGACACTGCAGTTATATCAAAATGATACTCTAGTTGTGGTAAAATGAAACTGCAGTGTATATAAAATGAAACTGAATAACATTTCACATATTTGAGTGTATATTGTACAATGAAGCTGCAATTATATCAAAATGATCATGCAGTTGTGTTTTAATAAAACTATAGTGTATATAAAATTGAGTCCATAAATATCGAATGAAACTGTAGTTATATTAAAATGAAACTGTAGTTGTGTTGAACTGAAACTGTAGTATATACCAAATGAAACTGAATAACAGAGTTACTTTTTGCGAAAGGGTGCGGAACGGTGAAAAACGAATGCCGTTTATTTTCATTTAACAAAACGACGTCGTTTTGATGCGCGGTGCATAAACGATTATGCACCGCGGTGCACGATATAATTTGCCTTTTGGTCCTTCCCTCTCTGCCCGTCGCAACGGAAGATGCGCAAAACCACCGATTAACGCGAACAAGAGCACCGAACAAGATGAGCGAAGGAATCGTAGACTTATTCTCCTTCAATGCTACGATCCGATTGATTAGCTCAAGCTTCGGACGGTGAGAGATCGGAGAATGGACCGGAGAAGTATGTACTATATAAATGGGGAATCAGTCTTCATCAGGACATCATCAGTTCACCCCGGAGATTTCCGGTGGTTCACAGCTATGTAGTTTCTCCTCCGGGCAGCGATTTCTGGTGGCGCAATCTATTCTGATACGTCGACAACTTCATTCGGTAGCAACAAATTCTAGAGGGTTTGGCAATTGATCTGGGCAGAAGTCTCTAGTTCATATCTTTTATTTACTTATTAATCGTCTCTTTTATTTACTTATTTTGAGGCTGACTTGTACGAGTGATTGGCACTCTATAAATTGTGTTTCACCCAAGTATTTTAATTTGCTTTAGGTTTCTACTTTATAGGTTACTAGAGCTTTTTAATATTTAATTTGTTTTGTGTTTTCTGAAAGTACAAGAGCAGCGTGCAATCTGGTTTTGGCCTCATTTGTAACTCTTTACATGGTTGTTGTACTTCTAAGTTAATGTTGATTGCTTGTAATTATCACTTTATCCTCCTTAATGACAGTGCTTATTGAGTAGTGAATGAAATAGGTTATCAGCATTCATTATAGACTAGATTAATGTGGGGTTTGCAATTTCCTTACTGTGTTGATAATAGATTCATGTTCCTAGAGCGTCGTTTTCATATTAGCTGCCAATTTAATTACAATCTTAATTTTTTGATTTTTAATTGCTCATTTTTTTTCTTGTTTTTTACATAGCATTTAGTTTTGTTTTTACTATTAATATTAAGTTTATTGCACTTTGAGTATTTTAACCTTTCATTCAATTATTTCCTAAGTTTAGTCGATATTAAATTGCATTGTATCAATTCCCTATGGGTTCGATCCTTGCTTTGCACACTATTACTACAGTGACTCGTGCACTTGCGAGGACATTTATTAAAATTGTCCACCAGTAGTGATCAAGCTATTTGATTCTTCTCCATATCTACTTGATTTCATATTGAAATATATGCTATTCAAATTGATATGGTGATTACCCATGCATATAATCTTTGTATGCATGAAACTTAAGTTTAAACATGTGACCATGCCTGCATTATTGATCCTCTTAAGTATTAAATGAAGAAGCACATATACGAATGCATGCATAACTCAAATGTAATACTTAGCTTTTCGTAAGTAGCAGGATGAATGACGTTTGATCGTTGTTGCGCATCTTTCTTCTTCTCCTCCAGCATTAGAATATTTTGTTAGACCACCTAGATTACTCTGATGCAGTGCTGAAGTACATAATCTTGATACTAATGGAGAAGGATGACTTGGAGAATTGACCATCCATGTTTCATGATTTCATTGCTCTCCAGACCATTGAGAAATACTTTTAATATGTCCTTCATGGTTCTAATCACATCTCACCTTCACAAACTCCTATCTCTTGTGTTCTTTTGGAACACCATAGCAGAAACATAAAAGTTTTCAAATAGCAATCCACAATACCACTTTTGCAATAATTCATGTCTAGTACGTAGCCCTCGATCTCATTGAGGGAGACGACGAAACAAGTCAATTTCAATAGCAACAACCCAATCAACAGGTTATTACTCTTCGAGGCTGTAGCAGCAAATTTTAGATGTACTGCATACGCATGTTGGCAGCAATGATAACCCCATAAATCCTCCCTGTAGTGGCGGTTGGGAAAAATCCCACTACCTGTGACAATAAAAAATCACAGATCCGACAGGAGCGCAAATACGAGATAGTACAAAATAGCCAAAATAAATAAAAGATACAAGAGACACACGATTTACGTGGAAAACCCCAAAACCACGGGAAAAACCACGGGACCACCACCACCAAAGAATTCCACTATAATAAATCTTGGGTACAAAGTTCCTGGCTACCACACGAGCCAAACATCCAAAATCATCAAATACACCAACACTAGGCCAAATACATATATTCTAATTCACATGCTAAAGGAATAATATCTCGTACCCAAATATTCAACCACCACGAGCAAGGTGAACATAATACAAATATTACGAGATTACCCAAAAGATGCCTGGAATAAATACAAGCTGACCTCAAAATATTTGATGAAGATAATACCCAAGAGCTAGGCAAACCTTCCGCCGTTGCTGCCCGAACTGCCATGAAGAAGGAAGAAAGAAAATTGAATTTTTTCTTTTCTTTTGATGCCTCTGCCGAATTGAAGAGATAAGAAAAATAGATTTTTCTTCTTTCTCTTTCAATACTGCCGAAATAGAATTATGTGGAAGCTTGTGGAAGATGTGGAATTCTCTCACTTGAAGAATGAGCAGAGCATCCCCCTTTTTATAGTTGTTGTTGCCGACATGAGGGAAGAAAGGGGCAAGTTGAATTTCAGCTTTTCTCCTAAACTTCCTCTCATACTTTTGCCCAAACTTTTCCCCAAACTCCTTCTCTCCAACTTCCACCCTTCAACTTCTACCCATATCCCATTCTCCCATGACAATCAAATAATTGTCAGAAACACTTTCTCAAGAAGCTATTAAATATTATAGTTAATATAAAAATTGGCTTGGTCCAAAATGAGCTATTTACCACATAGGAGGGAAGCTCAATCCCAATAAATCTCCCCCTCCCGACTATGTGGAGGATATCGTCATCCCGACGATAGAACAACACACCTCAAACTTTCCTCTTGGCAATGATTTGGTCATCATGTCACACCCATTATCATCAGTATGAATCTTTTCAAGTTCAAGCATCTTGCATTCCAAGATATCTCTAATCCAATGATATCTTGTGTCAATATGTTTTGACCTGTAATGGAACGTGGAGTTCTTTGCAAGATGAACTGCACTCTGACTATTACAATAGAGTACATACTTGTCTTGAACAAACCCGAGCTCCTGAATAAACTTCTTCATCCATAGAATTTCTTTACTGGCCTCAACAAATTCTATGAACTCAGCTTCAGTGGTAGACAAAGCAACGCACTTTTGAAACCTTGATTGCCATGAAACTTCTCCCCCATGCATAGGTAATCAGATAGACTGAAGTAGATTTCCTCGTATCAATGTCTCCAACCATATTTGAATCAGTGTATCCGGTGAGAATAGGTTTTTCCCTGTACCAAAGCACAAACTCAGACTTGAAGTACCCCGAAGATATCTCAGAATCCACTTCACAGCATCCCAATGTTCTTTCCCTGGATTTGAAAGAAATCTGCTAACAATACCCACTACATGAGCAATATCTGGTCTCGTGCATACCATCGCATACATCAAACTACTAACAGCTGAAGAATAAGGAACTCTTTGCATTTCTTCCTTCTCTTTCTCACTAGAAGCACATTGCTTCTTGCTCAACTTGAAATGCATACCAAGAGGTGTATTCACTGGCTTAGCTTCATCCATATTGAATCTCTCAAGTACTTTCTCTATGTACTTCTCTTGAGATAACCACAACTTCTTATTCTGCCTGTCACTGATGATCTTCATCCCAAGAATCTGCTTTGCTGGTCTCATGTCCTTCATAGAAAAGGACTTACTCAACTCTTGTTTCAATTGTTGAATTCTTGAAATATTGTGACCAACAATCAACATATCATCAACATAAAGCAACAATATAACAAAGTCATCATCAGAGAATCTGTTTACAAAAACACATTGGTCTGAAGAAGTCTTCTTGTATCCATGCTTACTCATAACGGAAGTAAACTTTTTATACCACTGCCTCGGAGCTTGCTTTAAACCATACAAACTCTTCTTTAACCTGCAAACATAATCCTCTTTCCCTTTGACTTTGAAACCCTCAGGTTGCTCCATATATATCTCATCATCCAAATCACCATGGAGAAAAGTTGTCTTCACATCCATCTGTTCAATTTCTAAATCCAAACGAGCTTCTAGATCCAACACAACTCTAATGGATGAAAATTTCACAACATGAGAGAAAATTTCATCAAAATCAATACCTTTCTTTTGGCTAAAACCTTTCACCACCAGTCGATCTTTGAATCGTGGAATTGAAGTGCCCTCTTCATGTTTCAATCTGTAGACCCACCTGTTCTTCAAAGCTTTCATGTTCTTTGGTGTCCTTACCAACTCAAAGGTATCATTTGCATATAGGGAGTTCATCTCATCCTGCATAGCCTCAAGCCATTGTCTCTTTTTCTCACTCTCCATAGCTTCTTCATAGAACTCAGGTTCTCCCCCATCAGTCAAGAGCACATACTGACTGGAAGAGTAACGAGTAGATGGTCTCCGTTCCCTGTTAGACCTTCTAGGAGGATCAACTAGAACCTGGGAAGGAACTTCTTGTTCATGGTGCGCAACATCATCAACATGACCATCTACATCAGTTGTATCATCCTGGTGGTCTAGTACAAGATCACCGTTCTGGCAATTCTCTTAAACCTCACCAGTATCATGTGTATCTTTGCTGGAAATTGGCTCAAAGTCAACCAAACTTCCGCCGTCTTGAGATTCTGGCTTTCTCACTTTGTCAACATCTTCAATGGTTTGATCTTCAAGGAACACTACATCACGGCTTCTCACAAGCTTCTTCTCAACTGGATCATACATCTTGTAGCCAAATTCATCAAGACCATAACCAGTGAAAATGCACTGTCTAGTCTTCGAGTCCAACTTAGATCTCTCATCTCTTGGGACATGCACAAACGCCTTGCAACCGAAGAGTCTGAGGTGATCATAAGAAACTTCCTTTCCACACCAAACCTTATCAGGAACTTCATTATTCAAAGCAATAACGGGAGATAAGTTGATAACATGAACAGCTGTGGAAACTGCCTCTGCCCAAAAAAATCTAGGCAACTTTGCATCATCAAGCATGCATCTGACTCTCTCCATAATTGTCCGGTTCATCCTCTCTGCTAAGCCATTTAACTGAGGGATTTAGGAGGAGTTTTTTGATGTTTAATACCGTGCATTCTGCAATACTCATCAAATGGGCCACGGTATTCACCGCCATTATCAGTACGAATGCACTTCAATTTCTTCCCTGTCTGTCTCTCAACAAGGGCATGAAACTCTTTAAACACACCAAACACATCACTTTTGTGCTTCAAAGTGTAAACCCAGAGTTTCCTAGAATAATAATCAATGAAGGCCACAAAGTAAGATGCACCCCCAAGTGATCTAACCTTCATTGGTCCACACACATCAGAATGTATCAATTCAATTGGCTCCGGCTTCTTCGAAAGAGAGTTGCTCATGAAAGATACTCTTTTCTGTTTCCCCGCCAGGCAATGGACACATCTGTCCAATCTAGCTTGTAACACCCCGTGTTACGACCCCTAAAACCAATTAATCATTCAACCATTTACCCAAAAGAAAGAATTAAATTCCAGTAATTAATTAGGAAAAGGCCCACCATAGTCCATGGGCCTTATCCCTATAGCCAACTCCTTAGTCCTATAAGGAATAGGACTAGCCCTAATTGGGACTCTGAGGTATATAAATAAGGGGCTTAGGAGGCACCTAGAGCCCACACCACAACAATCTCTCACCACACCAAGAATTCCCCTAGGAGAAATCAAGAAAGAGGAAAGCTTAAAGAAAGACCCTTCATAGCCAAGGAATTAATTAAGGCTAAGAGGTAACCCATGTCTCAACAAAACCTATTTTCATAGCTATGATTCCCCTCTTAGGCCTCCCCCATATTCTTGTGTGTTGATGATTCGTTATATTGATCTTGGTAATTGATGTTATGATTCCATGGGTACTCTTGATGATCTTGATGATGATAAGAGGTTCTTGATGTTTATATGGCGTTCTTGATGATTTATGATGTTCTTGTTGATTATGTGATGTTCTTGATAATTGTATGATGTTCTTGATGTTTATATGATATTCTTACCGAATCTTGATATTAGAAGATGAATCGTGTTCTTGTTGATTTAAAAGTGAGTAGAACCCTAGGTTGTATCGTGAAATGCGTATGGTATTATTCTTGGTGTATTGGGTGGGAATTCGCATGTTTGGGTGTTGATTATGTTTAGAAAAGCATGATAGGTTATGTGCCGTATGTTTCTTGCGTTTGGATCCGTTAATTGTTTACGTGTTGTTGTCAATTGCGTTTAAAAGTGTCTGGGCATGGTTTCGGGTTCCACAAAGGTTCCCGGGACGTTTTTGTGATAAAAGAGTCACTGGGGGGTAGGGGACCCGCTACCTACCCGCGGCCATTATGGGCAACACCGGCAGCGGGCAGCTGCCCGCCAGGCACCCGCTGCCTGGAATCAACGTCGCCGGCGGGGGACCCCTCACCCACCGGCTACCCGCTGGAAAATATCCCAATTCGGGATTCCGACTTCCACGTTTGATGTTCCCCCGATCCCCGTGGCGTCCCAACGGACTTCGTCTATCGTGCCTATGTCTAGTTTGATATTTCGGGTACCATTCGTAGGTTGTATGAGTCTTATATATTGCATGCTAGTTGAATTGGTATCCCGTTGACCTAGGTGAAAGAAGTATGAACCCCTTAGGATTATTCTTAGTATGTGAAGGATCACGCATAGGTTTTGTTATGCGTTTTCTCCCCCTTCCCAATGTGTTAATGTGGGTTGCATGTGCTTGCTATGTGTTATGTGTGCATGATACCCCAAGTCGGTTGCGATCGGATTGGTTATTCCTGAGCTGCGGTTCAGAAGCAGGCTGCGGTCAGATTTACACTCTTGGGCTGCGGTCCACCGTTTGGTTGCGATCAAACGTTTCTACATGAGCTGCGGTTCATATTTCCTGGCTCTGGTCAGATGACTACTCTTCGGCTGCGGTCCACTGTTTGGTTGCGATCAAACATTATGATGAACTGCGGTTCATCGGTCGGTTGCGATCGACCCCTCCGTGTTGCGATACGGGACAGGGTGCTGCGGGGCCGTGTCAGAGCTATATGCGCTGACCCTCATGTATGGGCATGCGATTGGTCCTGTGGCGCCATCAAAGTGTGCTTACGTGATGAGATATGGATGGATTGATGTTATGAGGGTTTTGAGAACGTGACTATAGGATATATTCTAGCAAACTGTATATGCTTGGTTATGATTATTAGTTGTGCTTATCTCTATCTGTCGAGTCTGTTCCTTAGGCATGCTTGGTTATGACTGTTGGTTGTGCTTGTCTCTATTTGTCGAGTTTAACCCCGTTTAAAAGCTAGAGTCTCTTAGGATATATCTTCATGTTTCAAAATGGTTTTCGTATATCTATATATATATATGTCTATACGTATTGTATTTCAACGCGTTGGAGTGGGTTACCAGCATCTCTCGCTGAACAGATATATTTGGCTTTCAGGCATGGACGAGTAGATCACTGGAGCGCGCTAGAGGTTGGGGCGTAGATTAGATAGTTCTTCCCTTTCGGCCTGCGTGCCATGACTTGTATTGATACTAATTGAGATTGTTAGAATCTAGCCTGTGCACCTGAGTTCTCTAGCTCAGGTGTGGCATAACACCCCGTACTCTTATAAACATTTTGGGATTTATGATCATTTACCTTTGTTATATAGTCTTTAAAAGTTTTAAAATTTCGGGGTGTTACAGTTGGTATCAGAGCCTAAGTTTGACCCTAGGATAAGACTATTAAGACAGACCTTAGGACATAGACTTGAACTTTAGGTACTTAGGGACATAGGATTCGGGAATCCTAGGACGCGCGGTGAGATTGTGAAACCTACACATAACCTCCCCTCACTTTATCCCTCCCCTATCTAAAGAAAACTTTTCCCCCACTTATCACATCGAAAGAAGAGAACCAAGCTCTAACTTAACGTTCTTACAAACATGGACCCAGAAAGACGACAGCATGGCACCAAACAGAAGACAATCAAGGACTCCAGAACCCGCCGCACACGACCCCCTGACCCAAACACTACAACAACTAACGCAAGTCGCCCAGGCGCTAAGCGACGTAGCCCTTCGCAACAACAGACCCCCGCTTCCTCCATCAAACGCAAATTCAGACGTCGCCCGACAAGTTTCAAACCATCGACCACCCACGTTCTTAGGAGAAGAGGATCCGGTAATCCTGGAGGAATGGATCCGGAACCTTGACAAAATTCTAGGGTTAGTGGAATGCCCAGAAGAACGTCGCGTAGAGATAGCCTCGTTCTACTTCGGACACGAGGCCGATCTCTGGTGGATCCATGAGCGGCCCGCTTACCAACAAGAACCAGGGCTCAACTGGGAAAACCTCAAGACGCGACTACGAGAACGATTCTATCTAACACACGTAAAGGCATCCATGTACGAAGAGTTCCTCCATCTGAAACAAGGGACGGCTACCGTCATGGAGTACCATAAACGATTCCTCGAGCTAGCACGCTTCGCACCAGAACTAGTCCCCACCGAGGTAACCAAAATAGAGAGATTCGTATCGGGCCTTAACTTCGAAGCCCGAAAAGCACTGGTGGTAAGCAGACCTCGGACCCTCAACGAGGCTTACTCCAGTGCCGCTAATCTCTATCGAATCCAACTACTCCAACGCGGAGTTCAGGAACAGATACGAAAGAGAAACACCGGAGGTGGAGCACCACCTGTAAAAAGGACGAGAAACGACACCAACACAAGATCGAGCAATCTGACCAACCAAAGGCCGCCCCTAGGGAACAACGAAGCTAACACAAGGAGCTTCCCTTGCCCAAAATGCAACAAAAGCCACAGAGGTAAAGACTGCATGGGCAATCCCTGGCGATGCTTCAACTGCGGTGAAGAGGGACACAAGGCCTTCCAATGCACTCAACCCCAAAGGCCACGCCCCACCACCATGGGTCAACACGGGGGCACCGCCCACCAAGGAAACTACGGCGCCCCTGGGAAAATATTCGTCATGAGCCGCACCCAGGCCGACCTCGGCAACGAGGGCAACCTCGAGGAAGGAAATCTCGCCCCCGAAGATGATGACCACGTAAACCCCGCAGAAGAAAACCAAGAAAACGAATTCTGTCTAGGATAAGCCGTCAAACTCCTTGTAAACACCTTCTTAGTAGAACTACTTACTTAGCTTAGTTATTTCGGAATTATTATAAGTAAAGGTTTGATCGAAATTCGATCCCACTTACGGGGGTGGAACTAAAGTTATACCAACAAGCCAAGCCTTCCACCACTGAAGGACAAAAGAAGGAAAAAGACAAAGACCACACCATCAAGAAGACTAATGCTACCATTGGGAATGGAACCTTAAACCTCCTACTTAATTAACCAAGACTTAACCACTAGCCCATGAGTGTTTCTTGAAACCTCAAGGGAACACTCCCTTCTTAAAGCCCCCACAAATCCCAAAAACCCACAAAATCCCCAAATCAAAAACTCTTCTTCTTCCACATTCCCTCACCCTCTCTCTCTCCCTTCCTCTCCCTCTCACCTCCCCGCCAACCTGACGACACCCCAGCAACCACCACTGCCCGTCGCTGTCACCAGCTGAGCCGCCACCGGCCACCCAGACAGCGCACCACCGCACACCACCGTCGCCACCCGGAGGCAACCCGCGACGCCACCACCGTCCGTCACCCACCCGGACACACCCCGCTGCCACACGCCTCACCACTGCCCGGTTCCGCCCAAGCCCACCACCACCACGCCGAGCCATCACCAGGACCAAGCCGCACCGTCGCCCGCTCGCCAACGAGAAAGCAACGCCACCGGAAGCTCGCCGGAGTCTCGCTGGAACCCTCGCTGGAAGTTCGTCGGAAAACACTACCCACCCAAAATGCCGAAAAAGCCCCTCGGAACTCGCACCCTGGAATGGAGCAGCGCCGACTACACCGTGATCGGAGGTAAAGCTCTCGAACCCGACCAATTCTCTACAGAGTTGGTCGACATGCTTAACTTCCAAGGGCTCTTGGATACATATCTCACCATAAAGGGGGATACATACCCCGAATTGGTAAAAGAATTCTATCGTCACTTGGTGGCCGTCAAACGAGGTGATAAATTAGAAATCACCGCCAAGGTCCGAGGCAAGGAAATCACACTTTCCAAAGGCCGCTTGGCCAAGCTCTTAAAACTGACCACCACGGGTGTGTCAGACTACGACCGGAAAGGGTGGATCGGCACCCAAAACCTGGGGTACAAGGACTACCTCGGGTACCTATTCGGAAAGGAGGAGTGGTTCACCTCGGCCACACGACCAAATAGGAAGTGGCTAACTGCGGAGCAAAAGATATTGGTTATGATTGTAGCTGACAGCCTCTTGCCCACAAATAATAAAAGCAAGGACGTGGGGAGTTTAGAGTGCACTTTCACCTACCTCTTGAAACACAAAATCAAGTTCAACCTACCGGCCCTCATATTGAAACACATGGAATTATGCAAAACTAGTAACCGACTTAGCCTACCCTACGGAATGATCCTAAGTTGGATCATGGAGAAAAATGGGGTGGATCTGAGCCACACTGAGATCAAGACCGCAAATGGCATGATTTTTAATGCCCAGAACCTCCGTCGCAATGATATCTACTACACCGAAGGGGGGCTGTACATCACCCTCGAAGAGATTTGCTTGAAACCCGCCGAGAAACGAAGAGAACTGGTTGACCGATTGGACATCTCCAACAAGAAGCTTAAACGGGCAATGCAAGATTGTGGAGGACTAGAGGGAAGTGAGGATCAGGAAGAGGATAGCGAGCCTAACCCACCGGCACCCACACAATCGGGGGGAAACCCAAGGGGACAAAACGAGGACTCAGTCAATGAGCGCATCCTAGCACAGCTCACCCAGCAAAACCAAATCATGGAGAAAGGGTTCTCGTCCTTAATCCACATGACACGCGCCTTAGATCAGAGGGTGGCAGCAATCAAGGCCACCTTGGGCACGCGCAGGGCATCCAGCTCCAGGACAGGAAACCAAGGTAGACCCGAACTTTCCTATCACCACGGCACCAGAAGTCCAGTCTACCCCAGCAAAGACAACACGTGGAGCCGCGTTCCTAACCAGGAGGCCAAAATACGGGATGTCCAGGGGTGAAAGAATGGATTAACACACCGGGCTTCGGGGACGAAGCCCCTTGTAAGGGGGGGAGAGTGTAACACCCCGTGTTACGACCCCTAAAACCAATTAATCATTTAACCATTTACCCAAAAGAAAGAATTAAATTCCAGTAATTAATTAGGAAAAGGCCCACCATAGTCCATGGGCCTTATCCCTATAGCCAACTCCTTAGTCCTATAAGGAATAGGACTAGCCCTAATTGGGACTCTTAGGTATATAAATAAGGGGCTTAGGAGGCACCTAGAGCCCACACCACAACAATCTCTCACCACACCAAGAATTCCAAGAATTCCCCTAGGAGAAATCAAGAAAGAGGAAAGCTTAAAGAAAGACCCTTCATAGCCAAGGAATTAATTAAGGCTAAGAGGTAACCCATGTCTCAACAAAACCTATTTTCATAGCTATGATTCCCCTCTTAGGCCTCTCCCATATTCTTGTGTGTTGATGATTCGTTATATTGATCCTGGTAATTGATGTTATGATTCCATGGGTACTCTTGATGATCTAGATGATGATAAGAGGTTCTTGATGTTTATATGGCGTTCTTGATGATTTATGATGTTCTTGTTGATTATGTGATGTTCTTGATAATTGTATGATGTTCTTGATGTTTATATGATATTCTTACCGAATCTTGATATTAGAAGATGAATCGTGTTCTTGTTGATTTAAAAGTGATTAGAACCCTAGGTTGTATCACGAAACGCGTATGGTATTATTCTTGGTGTATTGGGTGGGAATTCGCATGTTTGGGTGTTGATTAAGTTTAGAAAAGCATGATAGGTTATGTGCCGTATGTTTCTTGCGTTTGGATCCGTTAATTGTTTACGTGTTGTTGTCAATTACGTTTAAAAGTGTCTGGGCATGGTTTCGGGTTCCACAAAGGTTCCCGGGACGTTTTTGTGATAAAAGAGTCACTGGGGGGTAGGTGTGGGTAGGGGACCCGCCACCTACCCGCGGCCATTATGGGCAACGCCGGCAGCGGGCAGCTGCCCGCCGGGCACCCGCTGCCCGGAATCAACGTCGCCGGCGGGCAGCCGGCGGGGGACCCCACACCCACCGGCTACCCGCTGGAAAATATCCCAATTCGGGATTCCGGCTTCCCCGTTTGATGTTCCCCCGATCCCCGTGGCGTCCCAACGGACTCCGTCTATCGTGCCTATGTCTAGTTTGATATTTCGGGTACCGTTTGTAGGTTGTATGAGTCTTATATATTGCATGCTAGTTGAATTGGTATCCCGTTGACCTAGGTGAAAGAAGTATGAACCCCTTAGGATTATTCTTAGTATGTGAAGGATCACGCATAGGTTTTGTTATACGTTTTCTCCCCCTTCCCAATGTGTTAATGTGGGTTGCATGTTTTTGCTATGTGTTATGTGTGCATGATACCCCAATTCGGTTGCGATCGGATTGGTTATTCCTGAGCTGCGGTTCAGAAGCTGGTTGCGGTCAGATTTACACTCTTGGGCTGCGGTCCACCGTTTGGTTGCGATCAAACGTTTCTACATGAGCTGCGGTTCATATTTCCTGGCTCTGGTCAGATGACTACTCTTGGGCGGCGGTCCACTGTTTGGTTGCGATCAAACATTATGATGAGCTGCGGTTCATCGGTCGGTTGCGATCGACCCCTCCGTGTTGCGATACGGGGCAGGGTGCTGCGGGGCCGTGTCAGAGCTATATGCGCTGACCCTCATGTATGGGCATGCGATTGGTCCTGTGGCGCCATCAAAGTGTGCTTACGTGATGAGATATGGATGGATTGATGTTATGACGGTTTTGAGAACGTGACTATAGGATATATGCTAGCAAACTGTATATGCTTGGTTATGATTATTAGTTGTGCTTATCTCTATCTGTCGAGTCTGTTCCTTAGGCATGCTTGGTTATGACTGTTGGCTGTGCTTGTCTCTATCTGTCGAGTCTATCCCCGTTTTAAAAGTTAGAGTCTCTTAGGATATATCTTCATGTTTCAAAAT